ATATAGAGAGAGAGAGAGAGAGAGAGAGAGAGAGAGATCATTTGAAGAATTGTAGAAGAGACTTCAAGTTGTTCAGTTTGGTTAGAGTCCAAAGTGTGAGAAGGATGGGGTAAAGACATGAGCAGGAGGGGCAAAGGACAGGCCTCTGAAGTCTTAAGTGGAAGGTGGTCCATCCCAGCCCCTCCCCAGCATCAGGCCTCCCTTTCTCATGTTCTATACCTATAAGACACATACCTGAGCAGGGACCATAGTGCCATGCCCCAAAGAGACCAGCCAGGATCAGGAGCAGTGAGACTGGCACTGCCACCAGCAGCACGTCCTTGTAGGAGGCCATCCCTGGAGCTAGAACATGGAAGGGTAGGATCAGAGATGGGCCTGATGCATCATAATCCCTCACCTATTGCCCGCTGGTCTTTGGCATACCTGCCTCATGATGACAGCTCTCCCAGGGGATGACTGTGGCTATATCCCAGCTGACAGGGTTGGAGGCGATGCATGAATAGGCCACATCCTCGTCTCCCAGTCCCAGTGAGATGCTTAGCACCTGTTTGTCTGTTAAGAGGCTGTGTAGGTCCACATCAAAGTCCATTGTCCCCTCCCGTCGCCAGCTATAAGTTATGTCACTGTTGTTAGGGGTCCAGCAGGACAAGAACACCTGGCAGGTATTAGGGGCTTGAGCATTCCCCGAAGCAGCAGTGAATACTTGAACTGTGGGCTTGGGTACGGCATCTGTGCAAGAATAACAGAGCAGGGTGGGTTACAGGGATGCTGGGCAGGGTCCATAGCTCTGGGTCTGAGTTCTGTGCATGGTTAGAGGCCTTTCTTAGTCTAAAACCTTGCCTATCTTTTCGTTGCTAATTCCTTAGTCTGGTATTCCAAACCCTTCAAGAAATGATTTATGTCGACCTCTCCAGCTATGCTTCCTGCTGGTCTTCTCTGCCAGCAGTTTGCAGTTCTCCCAAACACGAGATGCTGTCTCAAACTTTCTGTGCTTCTGGGTTGCCCAGCTGTGCACATCTGTGCTGTCCACCACCTTTTTTGGAGACACGGTCTCAATTTGTAGGCTGGGTTGTCCTCAAATGCAACAATCCTCCTGCTTCCACCTCCAGAGTGCTGGGATTGCAGAAGTATGCCACCGCGCCTGGCCCTATGCTTTCCTTTCTTGCCTGACTGAAGAACTCCTATGTGTTCTTTAAGGCCCAGCTTGGGCACATTGCTTAATATCTTGACCTTGAAGTCTCACCTCATAGTTCAGGTATGACTCTGAGCTCTCCAAGCCCCTTGGTCTTTTGTAGCACTTCTTTTACAATGTGCCAGTCAGTCAACAGGAGGTGACAAGCTTTTATTACTGTAGGCAAGTGTTTGAAACTTAGAGTTTGGTGAAGGAGACAGAGACTGACAAGTGATTACGAGTAACTAAGAAAATAATTGTCAAGGTGTAAAATGCTATGAATGAGGAGCCTAGAGGGAGGGGCTCTGTCTTGTTATCTCAATAACCTTAGCTCTCTAGTGCTGGCAATTTGTGCTTGATACCTAGGCCATTGAACAAATTGGTATCCTGGCGTCCCAAGCAGTGCCTCCCTGTTCTGATATAGATTGATGAGCAAATCCCAAATCTCAGTGGCAATGGGGCCAGTGGGAGAGCATTATGGTAACAACAGGAGGCCCAGTCTCTGACAGCATTCCAAAGTCAAGCAGAGTAAAACCTTATTAATGCCAGCTCAATCTGGTGGGATTTGTGATATGAAAAAAGAAATGATTTGCTGGGCATACTAATAGTATAAACAAAGATTACAGGGGGGATATTTACACTACTTAAGAGGACAAGTTGCCTCCAAACACGATCAGGCGCGGCAGAAACACCCATCGACATTTCTGGTAACCGATCCGCTAATTCAAATCATTCTTATCTATTGTCAAAGCCAAGCTCCTAAGGACGGCTGCTTGGCAGCTTCCTGCAATTAGTTCTAATCACACTATGTATTTGGAAGCAATAAAACAGCAATTTCCTTAAAATCTGTAATTCAGATACTGAGAACAAGGCATTTTAGAGCTTAGTGGTGTGGGTGCTGCATGTATTACCACATTCAATGTCCTCATTTCACATGCGCAGCAGCTGAGACTCAGAATGGCGGAGAGGCTCCAGGGCCTGTGTGGTTGTGTAGGGTATTCACTGCACAAGGGTGATGGGCAAGGAGGCTAAACGCGTGCTGAAATCCAGCCAGATTCTGCCTAATAAGATGTACAACTTGGTTCAGGGCTTCATATTTCTGGAAGTGCACCCTCTAACTACTCATTAGCATCCTGAATGGCTCACCCAAGAGCACACAAGACAGCTATCTCTGAAGGTTGGAGAATCCTCTCCACGTGACTTACACCCTTTCTCTTTTTGCTTCTTCCCAGCCAATATCCTTACTTTTATTGTTAAATGTGGACTCCCCAAAACCTTCACAATTCCTGCGGTCTACTGTAATAGTGGTGTGGTGTCACTCATATCTCTCCAAGTCATCAGGAAGATGAGATAAATGGGAGCTAAAAGATCTTGCTTCCTGCATCAACAGAAATGGATGGAGGTAGTGGTGAACATGGTGGAGAAGTTGTTTTTTAAAAAAGAAAGAGGGGCTGGAGAACTGCCTCATTGGTTAAGAGTACTGGCTGTTCTTGTAGAGGACCAGGGCTCTGTTCCCAAGCACCTACATGGCAGCTAACAATGGTTAGTAACTTGAGTTCTAGGGAACTTGACACCTTCTGGTTTCCATGGGCATTGTACAACATGGGTGTACTTACATACATACACACAGGCAAAATACTCATACACATACAATTAAAAAAATAAATAAAATATTTTAAAGACAGAAACCGCCCCACCCCCATCCCATACTTAGTCAATTCAACTGCTCCAACTGCAGGGACAAACAGCTGCACAAGTGGTCCTGGCAGATACTGGTCCACCTTGTGGACCCTGAGAAATAAATATAATTGTTGCTTTTAGTGCTTAAGTTTTGAGATGGCTTGCTTTGCAGTGATGAATGAGAGAGAATCCAAGGATGACATGTAGTTAAAATCTAAAGGACTTTTTTTTTTTTTCTTTTAAAGACAGGGCTTTGATATGCAACCCTGGCTGGCCTGGTATTTGAAATGTAGCCCATGTTGGCCTTGAACATGCAGCAATCCTCCTACCTTAGAATCCAAGTGCTAGCATTACAGGCATGTGTCACCACACCTGATTAAAAGACCTTTAAAAAAAATATAAGGCTGGGAATCCAGATTAGTAGCAGAATTTGTTCTTAGAGCATATAAAGACCTGGGTTGATTTTTTAGTACCATATGAACAACAGAAACCCAAACAAGCAAACAAAAATTAACCAACCAAACAAAAGCAGAAATATAGAATAAAAATTCTATATTTAATTTAGTCTAGTTTGAATGTAATGTGCAAATAAAAACTAATTTTGCCATATGTAAAATTTTATCCATTTCCTTTTTAGTGGTAAATAAAATAATAGCACTGCACGCAATCTATGGTAATACCTTAGAATTGGTAGACGGGCCGGGCTCTGTCTTATATGCATTTGCAAATGACACTACACTTTGCCCGTATGGGCACTGTGGATGGTAGTATTATAAGGCTCATTTACAAATGAGAAAGGTAAGGTCAGAGAGACTAAGCATCATGTTCCAGGTTGCCAAGCCAAGAAAAGAACAAATGGAATACAGATAGTAGGGTGGTGAAGCCGGTGGCTCCAGGCAGGAGCTCACTTGAGAGTATGTAGGGAGATTTCTTAGATGTGACTTCTGGGGAGCAGTGGCTCCCTGACGTAGCAATGTGGTCAAAGGCCATGTGTTTCTGGAATCTAGCCCTTTCTAGCTCCCATGGCTCCAGACACTTGGCTGGTACTTTGCAGGAGGACAACATCAGGGAACTAGGTCAGGCATACTCACCATATACCTTGAGCTGCAGGGTTTGGGTCCAGGGTTGACCCCCTGTGTCCACCATCAGAACAGAGAAGTTGCCGCTGTCTCCAGTTTCCAGGGGCCCAAGCTCCAGACTGAAGTTGCTGTGTATCTGGACTCGGCCCAGGAAGCGGGAGTGGTACAGTGTCTCCAAGGAACCCCGGAAAAATGTGGCCAGGAGCTCCTCTGATGGCCAGAGAGATCGCCAGATAGCCTCACGGACTTGAAAACCAGGAGGACACTCAGCCACCAGCAGCACCGAGTCCCCCACCTTGCTCAGCAGTTGGGTACTGGTAACCACAATGGGAAGGAGTGCTGGAAGGACAGAAACCCTGTTTACTCTGCTTGTGGAGGCGTCTCATCCTGCTCTGTCGTGCAGCTGAGTTGCTTAGGAGCAAATTATGGCCCTTCACCCCAACCCTTTCCACTGATTTGAGGCTGCACCAGGGTGTGGCATGCACTGGGGATGAAACAGTCAGGAAGAGAATCTGGTCTCTGTTTATGGAGCTCCCCGAACACACCAGACCTCAAGCAAGCCATTAAAACAAATGATGTTAAGTTTCATGATGGGAAAAAAATGGGTGAATACAAGTGGAATAATAGGGGTCCTCATGCAGCCCAAGGGGCTCAGAGAATACACAGCCTGAAGGAGGGATGGGAATCAGCCAGGCCAGCCCAAGCAATGGCTGCTGGAGTGGTGATGGGGAATTGCTGAGGAAACAGCACTAGAAAGGATGGAAGGGAGTGAGCATGAGCACTGGGGAACTGAAAACGGCTCTGTGCAGGCCGAGTAAGTAGGAAATGACACTGCAGAGCTGGTGGGATCATGCCGTGCCGTGAAGCAGCCTCGGAGTCTGGGCTTTTAGCCTTAGAGCAATGGTGTGTGTGTGTGTGTGTGTGTGTGTGTGTGTGTGTGTGTGTGTGTGTGTGTGTGTGTGTGTGTGTGTGTGTGTGTGTGTGTTGTGGTGTGACAGGATGAGCTGTATGTTTAAGAGGATCACATCGGGAGACGTGGAGAATGCATTGGATGTGGGGCAAGGCTGAGGCTCTTTATATCAGTACAAGTAGAGGTGGCAGAAACTTGAACAGAGAGTGGGAGCCATGGGGATGGGAGAAGTGAGACAAACAGATTAATGGTGTACTTCGTCAAGTCTGGTAATAGATTAGGTCTGGGGAGTAGAGGAGAAGAGACTGAGATGGTTGCCAGTTCCTTGGGAAGCATTGTATACTATTGTTTGTGAAGTAGAACAGGAAAAGAAGCAGATGGGGGGAGATGGCAAGATGCTGAGGTTTTTGAAGATTGTATTTGAGTTTAAAGCATGAGGAAGACAACCCTGCTTGGTTGCCCTCTTGACTCCTTTCCTGCCTTATTTCTGCTTATTCTGGAAGCATCACCATCACCTCTAACCTATCCCGTCTCTTACTGCAAGTATACATTCTTTCTGTGTTCCCATGGTGATCAGAGATTGGCACCCTTGTCCTATTATTATTGTTTGTTTCTGAGTCAGCATCTCCCACCAGGCCATGAACTCTTGAAGGTCAAGAGAAAATTTCTTCATCTTCGTACTTGCAGTCTCCCCACTCCCCGCACCCCCACAACCCCGCCCCTCCGAGTTTAGGACTAGATTATACAAGCTCAGTAAATTGCACTGAATTTGCTGAGGACTAGACTGAACCTGGGCCAGCAGGAGGTTGTAGGGCGGAGGGCTGATATGTAATGTCCCCCAGTGCTGGGAGTTCGGTTAAGGAGACCTGTTCTGGATGGTCACACTACAGGCCATCTGCCTCATTGTCCTTCCTGGGCCTAGTCATTTCCATCTTGACAGGACATGGCTTCGGTGTTAATGTAAAATGGAGACACAGCATTGGATACCAGTCAAGACTGAGGTTCTCTCATATTCTGGTTCTGTTACAAACCAGCTGTGTGACTTCCAGCATTTCATCTTCCTTCTCTAAGTAAAACAGGGAGGCTGTATCAGCTCCATAGTATTAATCCTTTTTGCAATGAAGAACACTTAAACAGTTAAGATCATGGAATGTAGATCAGTGGGTAGAATACCTGCTTAGTATGCACAAAAAATTACTTAAAACCCCCACATGCCAATATTTGGAATGGGGTCCTCATACATCCAACGACTTGGAAGCTTTTGTGTAGAAAACCGACTGAGGCCTTTTGGAATGTTCACCTGTAATATCCCATCTACACTGAGATATTTTGAAGAAATCTGTTAGGCCTTTAGAGCCCTTGAGACAAGGTACTTAGGTGAGGCTGCTGTACTAAGCAACTTCCAAGTCCTTATGAATCTCTGAAGTACACAACTGTGTCTGGGCTTTTCCACATTCCATGAACTCCCATTCTTAGCCCAGCAGGGACTAATCCTTGTCATGCTGGCTCTTTGCTAACCAAAGGATGGAACTTAGGCATCAGACTGATGAAGGGGTCATCCAGTGTTGGAGACCCCACGTCTTTGCTATTCCAATACCAGCCTGTCATCAGTCATTCTTAAGCCCTCAGGGACCCATATTTAACCCACTCCCACCCTCTCTTCTATACCCAGTGTCCATCTCCCCTTGTGTAGGATGCAGGGTGGGATCCTGGCATCCTTACAGACTACTAAAAACACACATTCCTTAGACTGTAGGGAATTCTGCTGTGCTATGCCCTTGTCATCTCTCCCTATATTGTAGAATTCCTGTGTGTCAACACTGCCAGATCCCCACCATTCCTGTGTCCAGCTTTCTTTCAAAACTAGCAGCGCTTTCCATTTAAACTGGGGTCACAAAACAGATTGTGTTCCCTAGACATAGATGATCCTGGTGGGGCAACCTGCCCTCATCCAAGCCCCTACTTTAGATGTTGTCTCAGAGCTTGTTTTGCTCTTCACTCTTCTTTAACTCCTGGGTTCTCACTTGGTTTTGAGAGGCAGCTGCCTATAGGTCTGATGAGGGCAGCTGGGGAGGGACCACCAGCTCCCTGACAGGATGTCCACCTGCTCCACTTACCTTCACAGAGAAGCAGATTCCACCAGGACCACATGGCCATTGTTCTTCAGAAAACTCCCTCAATAATCAAAATCCAGGATATCCCAGGCCAAGTGGGTACACGGAAGGAACTGAGGTCCTTCTGAAAAGTCCCAGAAGGAGTTCAGAAGGAGGAATCTTGACTCAAAACGAGATGTCCCGAAAGTGAAAGCATCCAGAATAAAGTGGAAGTTGGCTGCAGACCCAGCTGGGCCTAGCTGGGCTTTCAGGAGCCGATTCTTGTAAGTCAGCCACTTTTCTGTATACATGACTGGTCAGAACCTAGTGACAAGAGCACCCACACGGCTCGTGTGCTCCTTGCTGATTGTCACCTGGTCACCTTACGTCCAGCCTCGCTCACAGCTATCCTTCCTCACCACCATTGCCACAGTCTTCTGAGCTGCAGTTCTCGCCCAGTCACTTCTTCCCTGCTTCCAATTCTTCTATAGCCTACTGCTGCCCTCTTGATAAAGACTGAACTATCAGCTTAGCATGCAAGGCTCTCCAACTTCTCCAGGCTGACTAGCCACATCCCCTCTGCTCTCTGACCATCCCAGCCAGAACTACCTCTTTTTACATGTATTTGTACACATTGTATTGGCTCCTCCGCTGGGCATGCTCTTCCATCTATTCTTGCAGACTGGGCTCAGCTCTGCACCCAGCCAGGCTGTCCTTCAAGGCTTCCTGACTATGGGCAGAGTAAGACTCCTCCTCTGTGGCCTGTGAGCACCCAGTCTTCCATACTGTTGGTTGTAGCTTCAGAGTTTTCAGAGACTGTTTAGCCAGCAAGTACTTGTATTTATTTGTGTTCCCCTCGGTCCTGGGCACATGATAGATGTTTAATAAATAACTGTTAAGTGAGTGAGTGGGTGCTAGGCATGGTTACCCATTTTGTTCTTATGTAAGGCCTAGGACTGTTCTCAAAGCTGATCTTGTAGCCTGGTTGGAAGTGTTGGGTTGGAGAATGTAAAGCCACGGTGAGGTAGGCAGCTTGCTGGGGCCACAGAGGGGCAGAACACGTCTCTTTTGCTGCAGCTACTGCTTCTCATTCTGCTTCTCCTCTTATGGTTACTTGGTTTCTTTCTTTTTGCTTTTTACGTCCTTGAGCACTAGGGATGGAATCCAGGGCCTCTGGCATGCTATATCACTGAGCTACCACCACCCCACCACCTCTAATGCTTTCTTTTTTAATAGTAGAGAAGCCTTTTCAGGATGCTGCCCTTGAGAAAGATTCCTACATGTCCTGAGTGTGGATCGTTGTGTGTGGGCCTGCATAGTTTCTGAACTTTCAGTCAAACTGGTATGCTTTGGATTGACTTAGGAACTAGGCATATAGAATGGGGGTGAGCAGGAGCGTTTGGGATCAGAATCCCTGCCTTCCAGATGTTCACAACCAAAGTGTAGAAACAGACCTGTCAGGGAAAGTGAAGGTTGCTGGCAGACAGGCACTGCTCTAGATAAATGGAGCACACAGGCAGTCAGCATCACAGGGAGAGGTGGGGAAGAAGTCTCTGTAGACTGGGAAAGGATTGTTTCCTGAGCAGGTGGACTTTGAGCACGATTTAAATAGGAAGAGAAAAAGAAGGCCAGAGGTTCTGGTGGGCCTTGAACATGAGGAGAGAGCAGAGTGTGTAAAGATTTGTTTGTGGGAAAGTACCAAGTAAGCTCCAGGGACTATGAGGGACAGCAGGGAACCATCCTTTGAGGCCAAAGTGGAAGTGGGAAGAATAGAAGGGGAGATTTGAGTCAGATTATGCAGGTTTTATACCTGGGTTAGACTCTTTTGGCCCTCTGGGGCCGGAGAGACAGCTCAGCGGTTAAGAGCACTGGCTGTTCTTGCAGAGGATCTGGCTTTGGTTCCCAGCACCCACATCAGGTGGTTCACAACTAACTGCCTGTAGCTCCAGGGGATCCAATGCCCTCTATTGACCTCTGTGGGCACACACACCCATGTGCACACACACATATACATAAATAAAAAATAAATCTTGGGGGCTGGAGAGATGGCTCAGCGGTTAAGAACACTGGTTGTTCTTGCAGAAGACCTGGGTTTGAATCCCAGCACCCATATGGCAGCTAACAACTGTCCATAACTCCAGTCCCAGGGGA